ACTATTAAATGACTATTATAAACATTAAAAAAGAGGAAAATTCAATAATACACACCCCTTTTTTAGGTGTGTGCCATCTGCCTTTTTATGTTTCTTTTTTCTTCTTCTAGTGAATTGTTAATTGTTAGTGAATTCAATCAATACCTTCTGCCTTTTTTCTTCTTGAGATCAATTCATCACTAGTGAATTGTTAAAATTTGTATTGATTTTCTCCTTTGTTGCAACTCGTAGTTCAAAGAGTGATGCAAACAATGTGGCAAAAAGGTGTGATTTTAAGCCAACTATGGCTAAAAATGATGAACAACCAATTCATGATGAATTTAATATTTTGACATTGTTCAAAATGTTGAATTTTTCAGAAATTTTGAGCCATGAAAAACTATGGATTATGGCATTCAACACCCATTTTGGATTTGTGGATTACACCAAAACTTAATTTTGGTGAATTGGCTAAAGATCTAACATTGTTTGAATAATATAAGACCAGAGAGCATAGTTCTGTTGGTGGAAGGTGGTTCTAATTAACCACTTGAAGATCACATACTCGAAATTTTGCCAATTTACTCTGTCGAAATAATGTACCTCACTTGGATTGAGTGTTATTATGATTTTGCCAATTAAATGGCATATAATCATTAATAACAGTGACATAAATTTATTGACAATACTATTTTGGCGTATATGGTGTTTAATCACTAGATTTTTGGCCCTAGGCATATATTTTATATATGTTTGTTTGTTGAAAGGGCTACTGTCGATTTAATTTTAATTTTAATTTTATAATTCTTCAAGAATTCGAGTAAGTCTCATTCTTAAAGAGTTAGAGGGCATTGTTTGCACCCATTTTTGTAAAATTTCCTATCAACAGATGAATCAATTGAATGATGACACATGAAGATAAAGTCAAAGTAAAAGTCCTTCATTTGATCAAATGAAAGAATTTTTTAAGTCCATGAATTGTTGAAATAGTCATAAAGTAGTTATTAAACAATTGTTGGGTTAGTGGGCTGATTTGTGTAAAGTCATGATTGTGAAATGGAGCTCTGTTTTCTGTCGATATAGTGCTCAGAATTTTGCGAGATATGTGACATCATGGAGGAGGGTAATTTCGACAAAGAGATTTGAAGAATTGATAAAGTTTGAAGGCTTGGAAATGAGATAATAATTATAGCAGCATTTGGGGGATATAATGAATTGCAAAATTTTAGGAAGTGGAGTAGTTGACCAGAGAAAGATCGAGAGATATAAAAGCCAGAGATATGCAGAAAGAAGGAGATCACCAACAACACAAAAAACTAGTTTTAGACTTAGCTTGTATCTAGGAGTAGTTTCTATCAGTTTAGTTCTTTTGTAATTTGTAACTTAGTGACCTTTGATAGTTTCATCTAGATATTATCTTTTGTTTACTTTTTAACTGTCAATTATTTTAGAAAAGTTCTCATTATTTTGAGGCATTTGAATAAGTATAATTTTTACTAACAACTTCCCTATGTAATCGTTGATCCAACGGATGTGACCACATAATTTTTATGCACCAATGCATCCTTCATTTGGCTAATTCCCAAAAAGGAGAAGTCGGTCAATATTGGGAATTTTAGACCCATTAACTTGGTTACATCACTCTACAAAATTCTAGCAAAGGTGCTTTCTTAGAGAATAAGGGTGGTCCTTGGAGAAACCATCTCTTCTGCATAAGGTGCGTTTGTGCAGGGACGACAGATATTAGATGTAGTCTTAGTGGCAAATGAGGTTATTGAGGAGTATAGAGGGTTACATGAGGGTGTTGTCTTTAAGGTTGACTTTGAGAACGCGTATGACCATGTTGATTGGGGCTTTGTGGATTTTGTTTTGGAAAGGAAGGGGTTTGGATCTAGGTAGAGAATATAGATTTAGGGGTGCTTGTCGTCTTGCAATATGTCGGTCATTGTGAATGAATGGTAAGGCTGGGGACTCTTTTTGGGCATCTACGAGTCTAAGGCAGGGTGATCCTTTATCACCATTTTTGTTTATTTTAGTTGCTGATGTGTTGAGTCGGATAATTGATATAGTTAAGGATAAGGGTGTTATTGAGGGATTTATGGTGGGGAGGGATAGAATTGGAGTCACTCATCTACAGTTTGCGGATGATACTATATTTTTTTCATCAAAGGAGGAAAGTAAAGTGGGTTGTTTGCTAAAGATTTTCAGAATTTTTGAAATTGTGTCAGGCCTCAAGGTCAATCTTAGCAAGAGTAGTGTTGTAGGTATTAATCTGGGAGAGAGCTATGTGCAAAGGGTGGCGGATATGTTGGGATGTTCCATTGAATTATTTCCTCTCAAATACTTGGGGCTTCCATTGGGGGAGATCCTAGAGTGGCGTCCTTTTGGGAGCTTGTTCTTGTCAAAATTGGGAAAAGATTGGAGGGATGGAAGCTAGCTTTATTGTCTAAGAAATGGAGATATACTTTGGTAGAGTTTGTATTTAGGCTCTATTCCTATTTATTTCTTGTCCATATTCAAGATTCCGATTAGCATTGCGAGGAAAATTAAGAAATTGATGAGAGATTTTCTTTTGGGAAGGGTGTGAATGAGGTAAAAGGGTTCATTTGGTTAAGTGGGAGGTTGTTTCACTCCCTAGGGATAAAGGGGGTCTGGCTATAGGAAATATCATTGCTAGGAACATTGCTCTCTTAGGCAAGTGGTTGTGGAGATTTCCTATTGAAAGTGATTCGCTATGGTGTTCAGTTGTTAAGAGCAAGTATTTTGTTCAACCCAATGGTAGAGATTCTAACGTGGTTAATAGAGGCAATTGTCGTTTTCCGTGGAAGTCCATTTCTCGCTTGTATCCACTTGTGTCTAATTTCCTTTCATTGAGAGTGGGGAATGGGGTAAGCATTCGTTTTTGGGAGGATGTGTAGGTAGGGTGTATCTCGTTTGATAGAGCTTTTCCTTTTCTTTATCAGTTGGTTCGTTCTAGGAATGTTTCGATAGCGTTGGTGGCATGCTCTTCTATGGTTCCCATCTCTTGGAATTTTGATTTCCTTAGGAACTTAAATGATAGGGAGGCGGCTAAGTTGGCATCTTTGTTGGTATTGCTTCAGGGGCATCTCTTTCTTCCTCTCGTGACAATAGGGTATGGAATCTTAGGTCTTCAGGGGTCTTTTCCTGTAAATCCTTTTTCGATAAGCTTATTGATAATCCCTCTATTCCTTTGTTTCTAATTCATAAGAAAATTTGGAAAACAGTTGTTCCTCGTAAAGTGAAGTTCTTCATGTGGTCTTTAGCTCAAAGGGGTGTCACAACTAATGATGTTCTCCAAAGAAGAAGGCCTAATCACTCTATTTGCCGTCAATGGTGTGTGATGTGCAAGAGGGGTTCGGAGGTAGCAGATCATGTTTTCCTTAATTGCCTAGTGGCTTTTGTATTATGGTAGTGTCTTTTCGGCTTATGTGATAATAAGTGGGTTGCTTTGCGGGACTACATTCAGATGCTTCTTGTTAGGTTCAAAGGGTTTGGGGGCACCAACAGAGCCAAAACATTGTGGTCAAGCATTGTTTTTACGATTTTCTGGACTATATGACTGGAAAGAAATGTAAGACTCTTTGATGGCAAGGAATCAAACGTAGAGGCTTTGTGGGATAGAGTGGTATACTTGGCTTCGTTTTGGGCATTTGTATCACCTCCTTTTAAAAGAGTTCCCTTGTTCTTGATTTCTAGGGATTAGGCTGTTGTTTGCCATCCCTAGAGCTAGGAGTTTTGTGCTTTTGTGGGTGTTTGAGAAGTTGTTATTTTAATAGGCTATTTTAGTTTTTGACTATTTTAGTGGGCTAAAACTTTTGTATTTGAAAAGATGATTGTCTATTCCGATGTACCTAAAAAAAAAAAAAAAAAAAAAAAAAAAAAAATTTTTTTTTATGTATTTTCTTGTTTTGTTCCTCTCTTCAAACTCAAGTTGGTTAGTTTCTATCCTCCTTGAGTTTGCGGGGGGCTGTTAGAATTTACCATCACCTACCACCACTACCACCTCACCTACTCCACTAAACCTAACCCACTACACCACTACCACCATCCACTACACCTACATCTATATAAGGAACCATTTGTAATAGACAGAATATCAAACAAAATATATCAATCAATAATACATCAAATTTAACAAAATGGGAGGAAAGGCATTGTTCATTTTTCTGTTTTACAACCACCCCTTTCTAAGTAGCATTTTAAATATTTCAAATCAAAAGGTGTAGTTTTATTTGTAATGATTGTATGTCAGAAAATTAAATAAAGAGGAAAAGTTTTGATTGTTCTTATAGCACCTAAAGGATGAATATGTCTTCCAAAATGGAAAAACTAAAAGAGGTGGAAAGTAGCAATCAATATTTAAAGACCACTCCTATTGGAAAAGTTTATGCCAAAAAAGTATAAGGTTTTTCAACACACGTAAATGTTTCAAAGAATGGAAGATCCCCATTACTGTAATCTATACCACAAATATAAATAAGATGAAATAAAATAAAACAAGCATACACTCATACACAAATACACATGTATGCACACAGAAGATACTCTATAAATATGCCCAAGTAAACTTAAGGTTGGGTACTCTCACATCACAATTTACTTGGTTAAAATCCACCAAGTAAACCATGACACGAAGAAGTAAATTTGCATTTGACTTTCATATGTACCAAATATAAATTGAGCATTTCAAGTAAATTTCAAATTACCTGACACAAAAAAACTGGAATTGCGCTCAATCAAGCAACTAGTTGCAACGTTTTCTCTACAATTGTTCCTACATTTGTTTTGCCATTTTACCATTTGTCATATTTAAACTAGGAGGAGAAAGTGAGCTATGTAAACCACCCATAGGTGTATTCACAGAAGGGGTAGAGCTAGCGCTATTTCCAACTATTTTAGAGCCCAATTTTTGATTTGGAGAAGAGAGAGACCCAATGCCATTCCCCACCACAATAGCTCCCCCACCTAATTTCGGAGGAGTAGATTCAAATTACCTGACACAAAAAAGCTGGAATTGCGCTCAATCAAGTAACTAGTTGCAACATAATCTCTATAATTGTTCCTACATTTGTTTTGCCATTTTACCATTTGTCATATTTAAACTAGGAGGAGAAAGTGAGCTATGCAAACCACCCACAGGTGTATTCACAGAAGGGGTAGAGCTAGCGCTATTTCCAACTATTTTAGAGCCCAATTTTTGATTTGGAGAAGAGAGAGACCCAATGCCATTCCCCACCACAATAGCTCCCCCACCTAATTTCGGAGGAGTAGACTCATTGTTGAAGCGCATTACTTTAGCCTTCCTGAAATTAGCCAATAGATGTTTTGAGATGAAGAAACATAATTGATATTAATTAAGATATTCATGTCATACCTAACCAATTTGTGCTTTGAAGTAGCTGATTTTGGCTTGGATATCCCTTTTCAAAAGAAAATGTAAAATGTTAATTTCAAGTTTCATGAACTATATACTTCACAATCTAGAACAAGAACCAAATCTTAAAATTTATTCGGTTAATCTCAAAGAACCTACCAGATTTAAGAGTCAAAGATGTCGAAGAAGACTTGTGATTGGCCCTCTCGGCCTTGATAGAAGCAATAAGTGAATCTGCAGTAGGCCCTAGACCTTTTCTCCCGATCAGCTTCACTCCAAGCTTTTCGGAAAGGTAGTTCAACCTCATCTCATCACCCCCTCTGACTCCCCTCAGCTCAAGCACCTGTTGCCTTCATAACAAAGTGTAAACATGAAACTCCTGCAGCTGATTAAAATGGGACTGAAGCTGCTGAAAAAGTAATTTATTAGAGTACGATTAATCTGTCTTTGGACCTTCATGATTTTTCTTTCGTGGGCAACTAAATGTCACCCTTAAAACTGCTGTAGACTGCAAATCTGCAGCGTTGCTACCAAAAATTAAAGAAAAACTCCCAAATTCCAAATCAGGTTCTCTGAATAAATCTGCAAGAAGGGAAACACAAGAGTGCATTTTTTGATGGACTCTTTTCTACTTTTTGCTTCAAGGCTCTGACAGTAGCATAGTGAGCCATATTGGCAGCTTCTCTTAGCCCACTCAGAAAGGCTCCATGCATAGTTGCAGGGTAGCACCTAGTAGTTGCCTCCCCTGCAAAGAAAGCTCCTCCATCTTTGCTACCAAAAATTACAGAAAAACTCCCAAATTCCAAATCAGGTTCTCTGAATAAATCTGCAAGAAGGGAAGCACAAGAGTGCATTTTTTGATGGACTCTTTTCTACTTTTTGCTTCAAGGCTCTGACAGTACCATAGTGAGCCATATTGGCAGCTTCTCTTAGCCCACTCAGAAAGGCTCCATGCATAGTTGCAGGGTAGCACCTAGTAGTTGCCTCCCCTGCAAAGAAAGCTCCTCCATCTCCTACATTCTCTGCTAAGATATCATAGTCATCTCCTGATGCCCCGACTGCGACATCAGAGTAAGAACCTAAGCTGAAAGGATCAGTACCCCATCTGGTACAGACAGTTTGGATAGAAAACGAAATCTACCATACTCAATAAGGATTACATGACTCTCAACCTCTCAACACAGCTATGTATTCTGTAACACTCTATGAAATCCGACCTGATAACTACAACATATACCACCTAATCTTCAGGGCTTACAGTACTCTTGAGTGTACAGTAAATACAAGACACCAAACAACAATTCATTTATACGGTATATAAGACCAGAGCAGAAGTATCTCAACATGACAGGTGATGACAAGTTTTTCAAAATTTACTACCATCTCACCTACTCCACTAAACCTAACCCACTACACCACTACCACCTCCACTTCACCTACTCCTTACCTACTACACACTCACCCTCTTCTATATATAGGAATCATGAATCATTGTAATAAATCAATAAACATCAATCAATAATACATAAATTTTTACAAAACAACAATTCATTTATACAGTATATAAGACCAGAGCAGAAGTATCTCAACATGACAGGTGATGACTAGTTTTTCAAAATTTACCAAGTATTTGATATAACAAAATGTTTCATATAACTTGCAATATTAATCAAGGCATTAGAGATGAGATTGAAGTACATTAGGTATCTAAACCCATCCAACAACATGATTTACGTCAACTGCAGAATCACCTTGAGCTTACCATTTCCACACAAATTTGCAATGGCTCCAGCTACCATTCTTAAAGTTTGGGGATCATCTGTTTTGGACGTAGTATTTGCCAAGAGCCGAGCACCTCCTTTATTCATTATTAATTTTGATTTGCCTCTGGGAAGAGAGAAGATGAAAGACACTTAACAAAAGCTCAAGGATACATGTGTTAGTATGTGAATAATCAAAGGTGTTATTACAAAACAAATACATTCTTCTGAGGTATTACAAGGCATTTTCAAATGCAGGAAAAAGGCTTATGCTACCATTGCAATTATTTGGTAAAATCTTTGATTTAAGAACATTTTTTTTTCTAACAATAGATCAAGGCTTATTATGTTGGGGAAAGCAATGAAATTGGTTGTCTTGTATATGGCTGTGTTAATTAAATTTAAAACCAACAGAACAAATATTAAAAAATATATATATATGCCCAATGAGGAAAAAAGAAAATATCAAACCAAGAGAATGAAAACATTCACGAGTACCATTCATTGCCAAATTAGCAATAGCTCCAGAAGCCACCCTAAGTATGGTTGTATTTTGGGATGATCGCAACAGCATGAGCAGTGCATCTAGACCACCTTCCTCCACAATCTTTTCCTGATTGATATCTGAAAGGAAATAAAGAAAAAGGCAAAAAGGGGGGGGAAGAAGATAATGAGAGTTTTCATATATCGAATGTTTACCTTGAGAAGAAAATGAGTATAGCAGTAACAAGTTCTTATATAACCTTTCAATTTAATTGGGGAATCGGAGTGTCTCAAACAGAGCATTTTATGACAACTAAAAAAGTACAGATTATCTTATGCCCAAACAATATTCTGACATGTTGACTATTTAATATTTTACATCATACCACATGGCAATAGAGAAATGATAGAAAATCTTTCTTGTGTACAAGAAAGATAAAGGCACCAAGGTTATGAAATAGGAATGAGGCTAGAATGAATAGCTACAGAGTTGTGTAAAGTGTATATTCATCTTTGTTTTTGTTATTCACATTTCTCAAGGCGTTGAATATATCTTAGTTATAGTTAAGAGCAGAAGAATCCAGATTGTGGTAAGTAAGCTCTGATTGGTTAGCTGCTCAAATCACAATAATATCACAAATAAAGCCCGTAAAGAAGTAAAACAGAATTTTACTGATTTTGAAGTTTTCAAAGAAGAATGAGCACTTGTTTGAGTTACTAAGAATCAAAATTCATTTCAGAAGAAATTTTAAATAACTTTTTAACACTTCAGAATTTTTATAATTTTCTGTACTTCATAGTTAAATATGTTGTGTACATGCTTATTTTGATATTTCATTTGAATCGTAACATAACAATTTGTAAATTGTGCAGAACTATACAGTGAGCATCAAGTCACTCATTCACTCACACATTCATGCATGCAACAAGCAAGTTTAGGACACACAGAAACAACTCAAAAACAGTAATCTGTTATGTACCTTCAGCAGCAAGATTAGCCACCACCTTTACAACATGGATTTGGACATCGATATCTCCAGATGTTAATAACTGTAATATTTTTTCAAGCCCAACTGGAAGCACGAAGTAGAAAATCTTGTAAGTTATCTAAAAAGGAGGGAGGAATTGTTGAACTTTATATGGTTTAAAAAAATTTCCCCGAGGGGCTTGGAATGGGTGCAAATGTAACCTTTGGCATTATTTGAACAAAAAGTTATTTTACATGTACACAATCTCTTGAATGCCATACCAAAAACTTGGGTTCAAGTGTTCCTACCAGCTTTGTCACCTAAAATTAATGCCTAACTATTGCATAGGGTGACTGGAGAAAAATAAAAAATAAAATTTCTTGCCTTCTTCTCAAATCTTTGCAATTGTGGCCCTTTGACCGGAAATTGTTTCCCTTGATTGGTTTGATTTATGTAAACCCAGTGGTTTAATCATATTCTCTTTCATGTATGATTTCTTGTCCTGTGGAACATAAGGTGTAAATCCTTAGAACATTGTTGAGGATATAAATAATAAAGTTTCTCCTCTCTTTGATAGCTTAAGCTTTTAGATGAGTTGGTGGTCAACAATTGAATATGGTATCAAAGCAAGCAATAGATCCCATGTTCAAACCTCACCACCTACCCGATAATTAAAAAATATTTGCACATGTTTGGCCACTTATGAAGAAGAGCCTGGCCACATGAGGGGCGTGTTGAGGATATAAACAATAAAGTTGTCCCTCTCTCTAATAGCTTAAGCTTTTAGATGAGTTGGTGATCAACAATTCAACAAACATGGATGACATATCCCGTGAATACGGAACATAGAACCACTTACCTTAAAGTCATCATGATTTTCAGGCACAAGCATCTTTGATTTGAGAAGCTCAGTTTCAAAAGCTTTCCTTTGTTTTTCCTCAATTGGAAGGCTCTGCCTCACAGCATTAAGTTCTTCCTTCAATGTTGCCTTAATAATTCCAAATTTACAGGGAAGAAAAAGGAAGTCTTGTTAGTACAATATCAGCATTTCAGCTAGGCAAAAAACTCATACCATAGAAGAGTGTCTAAATGAGAATACTTAAAAGTACATTGATTTCAACTTTACACATGGAAATACTATTTGTCAACCATACCTTGTCTGTCAATTGAACTTTATATTCTGCTTTCAAAGAGTCTAGTTCATTCACAGTCTTTTGATGCAGCTGATGACTTTCTTGTAGTTTCAGCCTGAGCTCATCAATCACCTTTTGCCCCTGAATCTGGAATTAAGAAAAAGAAGAAAAATATCAGTGAATAGTAACCAATGATAACAATAGCAACAATAACAGTAATAATTATTAACAAAAAAAGTTGTTAGGTATTTTATTATTATTATTATTATTATTATTATTATTATTTAAAAGCAACAAGTTTTGGTTATCATATTTATTGAATAATTCATCTGTTGAAATATTTATCCTCCCTCTTCTCCCTAAATCACAGTCCAAAAATATGGTAATTAGTAGGGGAGCTTAATGACTAGGCACAAGTGGACTCATGTAGCATTACCTTTTTATGGCATTTAGGGAAGATATTGGTGAATAGCACTACATAGGTTGTTTTGTACAATATAGATCCATATATTGAACTTGTTATTTTTATTATTTTATTTTTTATTAAGAATAAAACAAATATAAAAATCATGACCAAAAACTAAATCATAAATTAGTTGATTTACTTTATGGGGTCCTACTAACAACTGCCCAATGGGCATTCATAAAGAATCACAAAATGCCAAAAAAAAGTTACAACTGCCCAATGGGCATTCATAAAGAATCACAAAATGCCAAAAAAAAGTTACATTTTTATTTTTTTTAATACATTTTTCACATATTTTAATACACTTGACCCGGTTTGAGTTTTGATGATTGCTTAATTGCATCTTCGTTATATCCAATTCTTCTTCTACACCTTTAAAACGGGCATGCCCCTCATCTAGTTCGTGTTTTAATTCTGCTATTTTCTTCTCATACATTTGAGTGGTGTCTAAAAGAGCCTTCTGATATGTAGAATTTTCCTTTTAATATTGCTGGTGGGAGAGAGAGAGGGGGGAGAGAAACAAAAACATCAGAACTAAAGTCTCTTGTTAGCTGAAAGTAGGATTCTAGGAGCAACAAAAATTTGAACTACTTTTAAAATTTTACCACTGACATGGGTTAAAATCTATTGTGAAGAGATTTGATGTGTTAAAATTTGAACAAAACATATAAACAATTCTTGCTGTAAATTTTGATTTGGAGCTTTAAAGTACCAAAAAATCACTACTTTAATCTTTTTACAAGATTAAAAAGACTAATGAAGACTCATTATAAATTGATTATTGGAATTAGAGGTCTAGGAGGAACGTTGTCCTTTCCATATTTAATGAGATGGTTAACCTGCATTGACTTTTGATGATGACTCAGCAACTTCTTCATCACATCTAACTGTTCTTCAACACTTTCAGAGTGAGCCTGCTGCTCCTCTAATTGCTTCATCAACTCTGCTATCTTCTTCTCATACATCTGGGTGGTATCTGCAAGTACTTTCTGATACGTAGAACTGTCGAGCTGGTATTGCTACTAGCAGACAAACCAGCACAGTTAGTGTTTGTGCACATGTAGACCCAAATAATAGTAACCAAAAATAAATTGTTTTCTAAACTGTAAAGCCAAAACTTTAGATCCAAGGAACAAATACAATTTAAAACTAGGAAACAATGAGAAAACCTGCACATAGCAAAGGTCTTGAGGATCATATAGATGAAATTGATCATAAGTTTACTTTTCTTCTAGTAATTTAACTGGGCAGTAAGAGAGAACTGTATAAAAAGGATTTGAAACACCTAACCACCGAAGTGTACTCAAATTGGAAGTGTGGGGCTAGTTCATAGTTTACCAGAAGACTAGATACAGAGAATAAAAAGGGGAGGAAAAAAGAAGAAAAGAAAAACAAGAAACTGTGTGTTTCATATACCTTGCTGTGTTTTAGACTCATTTCTAAGCGTTCAACTTCATCATGCATAAAATCATTATAATCTTTTAGACACTTCAGTTCATCTAGTATACCCTTCATCTTTATTTCCAGACGACCATTCTCTTTTGCTAGAAACTGCAAACAAGTGCAACATATTTAGAGAAAGTAATTTGAAAAATAAACAAAGAATGCTGGTGAACAAAACATATTGCCATACATACACGTGCATACACACACACACACCTAAAAAGGACAAAACTAGAGCACCAATAGCGCCAAATAAAATGAATAAGCAGGAAGTTGGAAAGTGTGAACTGAAACACAGCCATAATATCATCAAATCCAAACTCTAAAACATATACCAGCAGGAGAGACAACTACCTCAGACCTTGTAACTAAACTCTTTTCAGCGTCAACAAATGATTTTTGACACTCTCTGAGGTTTTTTTCCATTTCAACTCTGTCATTGTCCCTCAACTTTTGTTGTCTATCAATCTCCACAGTTAGATGCTCCACCTGATTCTCAAGCTTCCAACAAAAACTTTCATAATCAAATTCTTCCTTAAGCTTTAACACGTTTACAACTTTCATGGCCTGCAAAAGCAATAAACATTAAGCTGTCGTGATTAAGACAACTATTCTACAAAGTTGTTCAAAAGAAAAATATCCATAACAAACATTTAAAACTACATTCTAAGTTCTTTATGATTTGATTGTAGATGTCATACATTTGAAAGGCTATTTACCATTGCATCACCAAAGCCATAAAACATAGAAGGGAAGAAAAAAGAAAAGAGGCTGCTTGATGCAGCTCAATTGATATGGAACCCATGAAAAGATGATACATTGATGACTAAAGTAGTTAGTCTTGTTAGGATTCTTTCAATTAATGTTGTTGTTTTCTTATTTCTTTAAGGACATTTTAATAGCTTTAGTGATAGGGTTTGAATCTTATTAGGTATCAGCATCAATGTTAGGTAGGATTGATTCGAAAATGTTTCCGTGAGTTTTTAGGCTTGTCTACAGCTGATAAATAGGCTCTATTGCTGTGGAATGAACTCTGGCCTCCAAAATTGAACTTATTCTGGCCTCCACAATAAGAAAGCTTCAATCAAAGTTGCACAGAAGCCTTGGTTTCAAGGGAAAAAACCTGTTTCCTCCTATCTTGTTTTAGAAATTAAGAAGGAATTTTCTTAACTTTTATCAGAATGATTAAGGAAGGTTTTGGGAAAAATCTTGTAGGAAACTTTCAGAAGCTATTTGGAAACACAGAAGAAACCTATGAGGAATGCATTTCCTTATATTCTAGTTTTTATGCTTCCAACACCTTTTCTCAATAGTAAAAAATAATTCTTAGTTATTCCTTACAGTTCACAATTTACATTATTTACACTGTTTCATATCAATTTTGTCAAACTTTTCTCTGGAAGTTTTTCTATGCCATTTAGTATCAAATTTCAGTTAGCTTCTTATTTCCCATGATTTGTTACCAAATTTTGTTGCTTCCATTTCTCTTCGAATTTTCCATTCCATTTCCCACTCTAGAAAGGTTTCCCCTTGTTTAAGTACCTTGTTAAGTATCTTAAGTTGCCTGGTTCTCTAATCTATTTCCCAAATAGCAACTCAAATGAAGTTTCTTGACTGCAAAACACAATAATCATTAACAACCTTGGCAATGCAATGCATATTTCCCTTCCAAAAACACTTTCCTCTCCAAAGAGAATTAGACCAATAATGACACAGCAGATGACATCGTCCTCTGCCCACTCTCAAAATTAGCAACACCAGACAGTCAGTGGCAACATACACATGTAGCACCGGATTGAGAGGTCAAATAAATAGGAAACATGTGAATGTTAAACAGATGGAAACAACAAGAAACCTGGAGGATGTAAAGTTTTATGTTAAAAACAGATAATAGCAAACATTAAGTTGTAAGTATCACACTATTTGAAAGCTCAAAATCAAGAGAATGTCAACAAGATGCAAAGAGAGTGAGTAAACAAAGACATGAAATGATATGTAAAGGTTATATTTGAATGATGAAGTGCTTTATCTAACTCACCCGTTGTCCAAACATTATGGTGCTCGAGGTTTCAGCATGATGTCGAGAAGACGGCCCAATTGTTACAATAAGTGATGTCCTCACAGAGCTTATTTCATTAAATAAAGATAAATCTTCATAGAAACCAACAGAAAGAGAATGCAAACAACTGAGATATACTCTGCTTCAATAAAATTCCTTATCAATTAAATGAGTTTTTTTTTTTTTTTTTTTTTAAACCAAGTCTCACAATGAGAACTGAAACCTGGTTGTAGAATCACAAAAACATAAAATGTGCGAATGATTATTAGCGTAACACTATTGTTTGGAGTTGGAAAATAAATTCTAGTCAGCCTCTCCCGTCCTTGATAAGCCAATGCTTTCAATGCAGTCGTTTTTGTTTTTTCTACTAATGTTATCATTGTTTTTGTACGGGAAATAAATAAACCTTCTCGTATAATCCTGTTGACCAAGTCTGCTCTCCTCCGTACGTCGTCGCTTTATCACCTGAAAACACAAACGTGAGCTAGCCGGCGGGTGTGTGCCAGAAACCTCTCCGATGCCTAAGTCAGTAAGCTTGGCAAATAGACAAAAGCTCTATGTATTCAGAAAGCAAAGTTGTGTGTTACCTCTCCAAAGGTGATGTTTGTGAGCTTTTATAGGTTTTGTGTGGCACAATCCTAGTAGGACTTATATTCCTCCATGCAGAGTCCTCCTAGGATTCATACTCCTGAAAGATAATGCCTATCCTTCAACACCCCCCTCACTGCTTAAATCAAGTGAGATGGTTCTATCATGGCCGAACTCCAATACGACCGAAGTAAACACGACTATGCAAAGCCGTAGAATGAGCCGAACTAGTTCTTCCTTTTACTTCTCTTACGTCGGCTTCTTATGCACAGCACATGGCATGGTCAGACCGAACTAACGAATCGTGACCGGTATAACTCCAAGACCGGTCTAACTCAAAGGTACCGTTAGACCGATCTAACTTCGTTCTTACGTCGGACCGGACTAGCTCCGCAATCTTAGGACCGGACTAACTCCAAAATATCGCACGACCGGAGTATCTTCCATGGCCCTTTCACTTCGGCCCTTTATACTGAGGCCATAATGTCCATCTCATAGCTCGGCCCAATTTTCACCAAAATTACCCTCTCACCTTTAGCCTCTCCAGCTGAGCTAAAAACTCTTTAGCCTTCCAGCCGAGCTAAAAAACCCTTTAGCCTCTCCAGCTGAGCTAAAAACTCTTTAGCCTTCCGGCCGAGCTAAAAAACCCTTTAGCCTCTCCAGCCGAGCTAAAAAAAACTTTTTAGCCTTTCGGCCGAGCTTATTTTACTCCGGGCTCTGCTTGTCCGGTCAAAACGTCTCTTCAATCACAGCAACTAAATCGTTTCTCCTTCCCAGGACACGTGGCACGCTCTGATTGACTGAGGACGGCTGTCACGCCGTCTTTGTACTTCGTGAAATTTGAACAGTCCCGCCCTTTTTTCCCTTTGCCTAAAACGCATCTCTTCGTCTTGGTACACTTTACAGCTTCTCTCTCTGAGCATCCATTGCCTCTCAACTTTTTGCAACACTGAAGCTTGCTTTGCGTTCGTCTTTTACTGTCGTTGCATCCATTTCCAGATCCTCTACTTCAACCTGGTAAGCAAATCCCTCTTTCTTGCTCTGTTTGTTTTCGTATTTTGCTTTCTATGTTTTTGCGAAACATATTTGTCCATTTCTGTTTTGCTTCTGTACTTTTATGGAAAAAATTTTAACAGTAGAACGCATGAGTATATGATATATCCTGTAGAAAACTAGCTTTTGATCTAGAATCTTGTCCCAACCGAACTAGGAGACTGTTTGTGCTATATATGTAGATCAATTCAGACAATAACCGAACTAGAACTCATAGAAATAACAGTAGTTTCAGCAAGTTACCAACTCCTGATTCACTTTAGCCGAGATAAGCTCACCGAACGAAGTTTGAACTCAGTAAACTAGGAACCTCGGCCTTCAACCGAGCTAAGCCTTTGGGGCTAAGCCAGCTTTCTTAATTTCTAAACCAAACTCAGAAAGCTGCCCTTAGAGACTCAACCGAAGTAACAAAACTCATAGTTCAAACCGAGATAACCAATCCTTATACAAAAACCGATCTCGCGAATCCTATGCTCAATCCGAGCTACCAAGCATTTATCTGTGCTTAACCCCTCTGTTTTCTACTTTGCAGACTTAGGTTGCCCAGGCACTCCTCCGTGCGCTCAACCGAGCTACTGAGCACAACTTTTGCACCGATCTAATTTATTCATAATTTATACAATAAATGGGGAAGTATAGTTATCTAGTAGACACTCCGGGCGGCCTAGCCAAATTCAGAAAAGACTACAATATACCTGATGACGTCCACCTGATTTTAACCGAAAAAGATGTCATTCCTTGGGACAATGAAGGCTTTGTTCCTTTCACCCTTCTGTCCATAATCGAGATCGGACTACGATTTCCAGTCCAACCCTTGATGTGTGAGTTTCTTAGGCAAACCAGACTATGCCCAACCCAACTATACACCAACTCCTACCGCATCATAATGGGAATAGCCGAACTGAACCGCCAAGCCGGACTCAACCTTGGCCTGGCCGAAATCTTCCACCAATACTCCATTGGTTCAAAAGAAGATAGGTGGGTCTATTATTTAAGAATACGTCGTCGCCGAGAGAAGATAATAAAACATACACCGGATAAAGACTTAAACGACGACGACTTTTTCTGGGTGTCTGGGAATTTTGAGGATCATCAAGCCCAAATTCCTGGCCGACGTATAAACTGGTAAAAAGGAGAACCCGGTATATTTACTTCGGTTTTCTTGCTTGCTGTCTTATATTTCGGTTTGTCAATCTTTCAGCCGAACTAATAGTTGTCTTTTTTCGCAGATTCTGCCCACCTTCATTCCTTATACAGCTACCCCAATCTAGTGACTTTGCGCGCCGCACTACGGTATCCAGAACGTAGTTGGGCTAAGCTGTTAAAGTTCGAGCCGACCTATAGATACAGTGGTCGCCGAAAAGCCAGAGTGACTGATTTTCTTCTTGAAGAGGCCCCAGAACCGGACCCGACCTTGCCAGAGATCAGACTAATCCCACTAACCACAGAAGAAGAAATGGCCAAAAGAAACAGAGTCAGGGCCCTCTTGACCGAGACCAACAGGGCCGAAGTACCACCATCAAGTCAAACCCAAGAAGCGGTGGTGGCCCTTCCTACGCAACAACCGTCCTCATCCCACCGAACCAAGCGCGCCCGGACTACCGAAACTGAACAACGCTTGGTTGATGAAGACGAAACTGTTCTTCCACCTAGCCCGCCACCGAGCCCCCAACCGGAGCCTTCTTACCGAACTACCACTAGTTGGGCACCAAAACTTACCTTCAACAACCGAGATATCCAAGACTCTGACTCGGTTGTTGCTGATAAGGATCACCAGTTGGCCTTCAACCTGGCCAAGAGTATGTGCCTCCCCAAAGATATGGAGCACCACCAAAAGCAACTAAACACCGAACTGAAGGCCATCCGGTCTTCAACAAAATCCATGATTCTGGTAAGTAGCTCTGGCCGTTTTTCTGTCTAATTTTTCCAACTTTCACTTCAGCTCAAGGGAAGTCTTTGTTTTGTCAGGCCATTCAGAAAAATAACATCACTCACAAGAAAGTGGTAGAGCTCAGGAAAACAACAAGGCAAGCCGTGGCAGAAGCCGAAGCGAAGACGGCCGAGCTAGAGGAGGCCAGAAAGCAAATGGCCGAGCTACGAGCTGAGAACGGCCGACTGGCCGGACTGGTTAGTTCGGCCAAAGCAGAAGGCTGCCATTAAGCTAAAGGATAAGTATCTGCGCGAGCTGGCGAAGCTCAAAAAGAAGAAAGATACCGAGATAACCCAGCTGAAGGAGAGCGCAAAAGGAGCCGAAAAGCAAGGTTTCAAGAAGGCAGAGGATGCTTATATCCAGCAGTGCGAAGCCGTCAAGGAACTCTTCTTTAAGTGCGGCTGGAGGGCAGCTGTTGAGAAGCTCGGTCACGATCCACAGACCGAGGTTTTCAACCCTCCAGCCTACTTCATACCGAACTCCCTAGTGAAGTATGCTGATGCCATTCAGCAGCAATTTCTTGAAGGCTCAGACTCTGACGAAGACTCTGCCTCTAAGGATACTCCGGTTGTCAATGCGGACCAGTCAGTTCGGCTGGAGCCCACGGTGGAAGACCTGACTATTGAACTACCAGGTGAAACCGTGGTTCCGACCGAAACCACCCTTGTGATCGAGAGCGAGCTCCCGCCTGAAACCGGTCTTCGTGTTGATGCCGATGCTGCGTTTGATGCCGAAATTGATGATCTTTTCACTTGATGTTGTACTTTTCTTCTTTGTCACTTTTTGTCTTTGTAACCGGGCTATGCCCTTCCTTTGTAATTGCCTTTTGATGAATGAAAATTTGCTTGAACTCTTACTTTGATTGATCTGTACGTTTGTACTTGTTATGATTTTTCCATGATCTTTTTATTTTTAACTGTTATCTCGGTTTTAGCTGGTCAATCTAACTATGCTTACTAGCCAACCACTCTTTAGCCGACATAATTAGTTCGGCTGAGGAGTACAAAAGAGTTTAAAGGCCAGTGAATCCACTCTTCAGCCATACCCTTACTTCGGCTGAAGAGTATAAAGAGTTGGTTTAATCCAGCCAACTACTCTGCAGCCATACCCTTACTTCGGCTGAAGAGTATAAAGAGTTGGTTTAATCCAGCCAACCACTCTTCAGCCATACCCTTACTTCGGCTGAAGAGTACAAAGAGTTGGTTTAATCCAGCCAACCACTCTTCAGCCATACCCTTACTTCGGCTGAAGAGTATAAAGAGTTGGTTTAATCCAACCAACCTCTAAGTTAGTTTTTCCAGCCAACTTAGAATAATGTTTAGTTATTCCGACCAAACGTCCTGCAGCCTGGATCCTTATCCTGGGCTTAGGAGGGGTGTTGGTTTATTCCAGCCAACCTCTAAGTTAGTTTTTCCAGCCAACTTAGAATAATGTTTGGTTATTCCAACCAAACATCCTGCAGCCTAGATCCTTATCCTGGGCTTAGGAAGGGTGTTGGTTTAATCTAGCCAACCTCTAAGTTAGTTTTTCTAGCTAACTTAGAATAAAATGTTTGCAATATTCCTAACTTTACTAAAGCTAACTTTTACAGAGAACAACTCATGCTGAAAAGAATCGATTGTTTTATTGAAGAAAAAGAAATTACACATATTTGAAAAGAAAAAAGCTAAAAATAAAATAACTTGAGATTGGCGGTGTTCCATGGTCTAGGGATTGCTTTGCCGTCCTTGTCTTCTAGGTGGTATGCCCCTTTGCCTGCTAACCCAACCACTTTGTAAGGACCTTCCCAGTTTGGCCCTAGCTTGCCATCTCCTAGAACCGA